GATCAATAATATTTGGGATTGTTAAAAGCATGAGTGTCATTTGAGGACACCATGTACCAGGAGTGGGGTTTGAACCCACGCGGACATTTGTCCATTGGATCTTAAGTCCAACGCCTTAACCACTCGGCCATCCTGATGCTACACTTTCAACTATTCACGGTGGAGGGGGAGGAGAAGTCAGGATTCAGACTCTTTATGATGGATCTATTTTCTAAGACCGTTAATGTTTCTCTTTATAGAGCAAAACATGACTAGTTCAAGAAATAAAATTAAAGGGGAGCTGTCACTTCTCCTAAATTGACGCATTTAAATGAGGCATTGAAAATCACCACTAACTTGTGTAAACCGTTTTCTATGCATGAAATGCTCTCTTTACTTTTTAGTGCATAATAAAGAGTTAGCAAATGACATCATAATCTACTTCAGACTAGGCAAAGCCAGGGATAGCATTGCTAATGTAGAGGAGAAAGGGAAACAGTGTTTCATCAATCCACTTCTGTGTATGTCCAGTCTATGCTGAATGCCGGGAGGAAAGGATTCAATTTTGGAAGGGAGCATTGATGGAGGTACCTGGTTACGGGAGAAAGGGTTATGGATTTCTTCATTTACCTTTCTTTTTCATGCCTTACAAATAGAAGTTTGTCAAATCTAGGGATAAGTAGTAAAAATAATAGTGAAAATCCTAAAAATTACCAGTTTCCCTTTAGATTTGGTGTGAATATCTAGCAGGGCAATTAAAATTTAAATTCTTTAGCATTACAGACCTGTCTATTACTGTGTTGAATTCAGAGTAATATGATGCTGTCAAGCAAAGTGATGCACTTAGCATGTCTCTTTTTGGGTATAGGTTTTGGCATGAAATAAAAGATAAAATAGAACTTGCTCAGGAAATTTCACATATTTCTGTATGATCTCAAGAATTTCACAGAATCCTTTTTGGTTCGATTTAGACAAATAGTTGCAGCAAATATCCTTTGTAATTTGTTTCTGAATTTGAAACGGGTTGAGTAGAATACGAGTAATGAATATTTTCCAAGAGATCAATAATATTTGGGATTGTTAAAAGCATGAGTGTCATTTGAGGACACCATGTACCAGGAGTGGGGTTTGAACCCACGCGGACATTTGTCCATTGGATCTTAAGTCCAACGCCTTAACCACTCGGCCATCCTGGTGCTACACTTTCAACTATTCACGGCGGAGGGGGAGGAGGAGTCAGGATTCAGACTCTTTATGATGGATCTCTTTTCTAAGACCGTTAATGTTTCTCTTTATAGAGCAAAACATGACTAGTTCAAGAAATAAAATTAAAGGGGAGCTGTCACTTCTCCTAAATTGACGCATTTAAATGAGGCATTGAAAATCACCACTAACTTGTGTAAACCGTTTTCTATGTATGAAATGCTCTCTTTACTTTTAAGTGCATAATAAAGAGTTAGCAAATGACATCATAATCTACTTCAGACTAGCAAAGCCAGGGATAGCATTGCTAATGTAGAGGAGAAAGGGAAACCGTGTTTCATCAATCCACTTCTGTGTATGTCCAGTCTATGCTGAATGCCAGGAGGAAAGGATTCAATTTTGGAAGGGAGCATTGATGGAGGTACCTGGTTACGGGAGAAAGAGTTATGGATTTCTTCATTTACCTTTCTTTTTCATGCCTTACAAATAGATGTTTGTCAAATCTAGGGATAAGTAGTAAAGATAATAGTGAAAATCCTAAAAATTGCCAGTTTCCCTTTAGATTTGGTGTGAATATCTAGCAGGGCAATTAAAATTTCAATTCTTTAGCATTACAGACCTGTCTCTTACTGTGTTGAATTCAGAGTAATATGATGCTGTCAAGCAAAGCGATGCACTTAGCATGTCTCTTTTTGGGTATGGGTTTTGGCATGAAATAAAAGATAAAATAGAACTTGCTCAGGAAATTTCACATATTTCTGTATAATCTCAAGAATTTCACAGAAGCCTTTTTGGTTCGATTTAGACAAATAGTTGCAGCAAATATCCTTTGTACCGTATATACTCGAGTATAAGCCGACCCGAATATAAGCCGAGGCCCCTAATTTTACCCCAAAAAACTGGGAAAACTTATTGACTCGAGTATAAGACTAGGGTGGGAAATGCAGCAGCTACTGGTAAATTTCTAAATAAAATTAGATCCTAAAAAAATTATATTAATTGAATATTTATTTACAGTGTGTGTATGTGATGAATGCAGTGTGTGTGTATGAGTGCGCAGTGTGTGTATAAATGCAGTGTGTATATGAGTGCGCAGTGTGTGTGTATGAATGCAGTGTGTGTGTATGAGTGCAGTGTATGTGAGTATGAATGCAGTGTGTGTGTATGAATGCAGTGTGTGTGTATGAATGCAGTGTATGTGTGTATGAATGCAGTGTGTGTGTATGAGTGCAGTGTGTGTGTATGAATGCAGTGTATGTGTGTATGAGTGCAGTGTGTGTGTATGAATGCAGTGTGTGTGATGCAGTGTGTGTGTATGAATGCAGTGTGTGTGATGCAGTGTGTGTGTGATGCAGTGTGTGTATGAGTGCAGTGTGTGTGATGCAGTGTGTGTGTGTGTGTGATGCAGTGTGTGTTTGTGTTGCAGAGCCTTGGTGGGGGGTGGGCATTTTTATAAAAAAAAAATTATTATTATTTACATTTTTTTTGTTATATTATTATTTTTTTAATAATTTTTTTATTATTATTTTTATTTTTTTTATTATTTATGTATTATTTTATTTAGTTTTTAGTTCATTTTTTTGTTATATTATTATTTTGTTTATTATTATTTTTTATTATTTATTATTAATTTATTTATTTTTCGTCCCCCTTCCCTGCTTGATACATGGCAGGGAGGGGGCTCTCCTTCCCTGGTGGTCCAGTGGCATTGGCAGTTCAGTGGGGGGAGGAGGGGGGCTGGCAGAGCTGTTACTTACCTCTCCTGCAGCTCCTGTCAGCTCTCTCCTCCTCCGCGCCGGTCCGTGCAGCTCCTCTCTCAGCTCACACTGTAAGTCTCGCGAGAGCCGCACTATGACCCCGCGGCTCTCGCGAGACTTACACTGGGAGCTGACCGAGGTGCTGACCGGACCGGCGCGGAGGAGGAGAGAGCCGACAGGAGCTGCAGGAGAGGTAAGTAACAGCTCTGCCAGCCCCCAGTCTGTATTATGGCAATGTAAATTGCCATAATACAGACAGTGACTCGAGTATAAGCCGAGTTGGGGTTTTTCAGCACAAAAAGTGTGCTGAAAAACTCGGCTTATACTCGAGTATATACGGTAATTTGTTTCTGAATTTGAAACGGGTTGAGTAGAATACGAGTAATTAAAATTTTCCAAGAGATCAATAATATTTGGGATTGTTAAAAGCATGAGTTTCATTTGAGGACACCATGTACCAGGAGTGGGGTTTGAACCCACGCGGACATTTGTCCATTGGATCTTAAGTCCAACGCCTTAACCACTCGGCCATCCTGGTGCTACACTTTAAACTATTCACGGTGGAGGGGGAGGAGGAGTCTGCATTCAGACTCTTTATGATGGATCTATTTTCTAAGACCGTTAATGTTTCTCTTTATAGAGCAAAACATGACTAGTTCAAGAAATAAAATTAAAGGGGAGCTGTCACTTCTCCTAAATTGACGCATTTAAATGAGGCATTGAAAATCACCACTAACTTGTGTAAACCGTTTTCTATGTATGAAATGCTCTCTTTACTTTTAAGTGCATAATAAAGAGTTAGCAAATTACATCATAATCTACTTCAGACTAGGCAAAGCCAGGGATAGCATTGCTAATGTAGAGGAGAAAGGGAAACAGTGTTTCATCAATCCACTTCTGTGTATGTCCAGTCTATGCTGAATGCCAGGAGGAAAGGATTCAATTTTGGAAGGGAGCATTGATGGAGGTACCTGGTTACGGGACAAAGAGTTATGGATTTCTTCATTTACTTTTCTTTTTCATGCCTTACAAATAGATGTTTGTCAAATCTAGGGATAAGTAGTAAAAATAATAGTGAAAATCCTAAAAATTACCAGTTTCCCTTTAGATTTGGTGTGAATATCTAGCAGGGCAATTAAAATTTCAATTCTTTAGCATTACAGACCTGTCTCTTACTGTGTTGAATTCAGAGTAATATGATGCTGTCAAGCAAAGTGATGCACTTAGCATGTCTCTTTTTGGGTATGGGTTTTGGCATGAAATAAAAGATAAAATAGAACTTGCTCAGGAAATTTCACATATTTCTGTATGATCTCAAGAATTTCACAGAAGCCTTTTTGGTTCGATTTAGACAAATAGTTGCAGCAAATATCCTTTGTAATTTGTTTCTGAATTTGAAACGGGTTGAGTAGAATAAGAATAATGAAAATTTTCCAAGAGATCAATAATATTTGGGATTGTTAAAAGCATGAGTGTCATTTGAGGACACCATGTACCAGGAGTGGGGTTTGAACCCACGCAGACATTTGTCCATTGGATCTTAAGTCCAACGCCTTAACCACTCGGCCATCCTGGTGCTACACTTTAAACCATTCACGGTGGAGGGGGAGGAGGAGTCAGGATTCAGACTCTTTATGATGGATCTATTTTCTAAGACCGTTAATGTTTCTCTTTATAGAGCAAAACATGACTAGTTCAAGAAATAAAATTAAAGGGGAGCTGTCACTTCTCCTAAATTGACGCATTTAAATGAGGCATTGAAAATCACCACTAACTTGTGTAAACTGTTTTCTATGTATGAAATGCTCTCTTTACTTTTAAGTGCATAATAAAGAGTTAGCAAATGACATCATAATCTACTTCAGACTAGGCAAAGCCAGGGATAGCATTGCTAGTGTAGAGGAGAAAGGGAAACCGTGTTTCATCAATCCACTTCTGTGTATGTCCAGTCTATGCTGAATGCCAGGAGGAAAGGATTCAATTTTGGAAGGGAGCATTGATGGAGGTACCTGGTTACGGGAGAAAGGGTTATGGATTTCTTCATTTACTTTTCTTTTTCATGCCTTACAAATAGATGTTTGTCAAATCTAGGGATAAGTAGTAAAAATAATAGTGAAAATCCTAAAAATTACCAGTTTCCCTTTAGATTTGGTGTGAATATCTAGCAGGGCAATTAAAATTTCAATTCTTTAGCATTACAGACCTGTCTCTTACTGTGTTGTATTCAGAGTAATATGATGCTGTCAAGCAAAGTGATGCACTTAGCATGTCTCTTTTTGGGTATGGGTTTTGGCATGAAATAAAAGATAAAATAGAACTTGCTCAGGAAATTTCACATATTTCTGTATGATCTCAAGAATTTCACAGAAGCCTTTTTGGTTCGATTTAGACAAATAGTTGCATCAAATATCCTTTGTAATTTGTTTCTGAATTTGAAACGGGTTGAGTAGAATACGAGTAATGAAAATTTTCCAAGAGATCAATAATATTTGGGATTGTTAAAAGCATGAGTGTCATTTGAGGACACCATGTACCAGGAGTGGGGTTTGAACCCACGCGGACATTTGTCCATTGGATCTTAAGTCCAACGCCTTAACCACTCGGCCATCCTGGTGCTACATTTTCAACTATTCACGGCGGAGGGGGAGGAGAAGTCAGGATTCAGACTCTTTATGATGGATCTATTTTCTAAGACCGTTAATGTTTATCTTTATAGAGCAAAACATGACTAGTTCAAGAAATAAAATTAAAGGGGAGCTGTCACTTCTCCTAAATTGACGCATTTAAATGAGGCATTGAAAATCACCACTAACTTGTGTAAACCGTTTTCTATGTATGAAATGCTCTCTTTACTTTTAAGTGCATAATAAAGAGTTAGCAAATGACATCATAATCTACTTCAGACTAGGCAAAGCCAGGGATAGCATTGCTAATGTAGAGGAGAAAGGGAAACAGTGTTTCATCAATCCACTTCTGTGTATGTCCAGTCTATGCTGAATGCCAGGAGGAAAGGATTCAATTTTGGAAGGGAGCATTGATGGAGGTACCTGGTTACGGGAGAAAGAGTTATGGATTTCTTCATTTACCTTTCTTTTTCATGCCTTACAAATAGATGTTTGTCAAATCTAGGGATAAGTAGTAAAAATAATAGTGAAAATCCTAAAAATTACCAGTTTCCCTTTAGATTTGGTGTGAATATCTAGCAGGGCAATTAAAATTTCAATTCTTTAGCATTACAGACCTGTCTCTTACTGTGTTGAATTCAGAGTAATATGATGCTGTCAAGCAAAGTGATGCACTTAGCATGTCTCTTTTTGGGTATGGGTTTTGGCATGAAATAAAAGATAAAATAGAACTTGCTCAGGAAATTTCACATATTTCTGTATGATCTCAAGAATTTCACAGAAGCCTTTTTGGTTCGATTTAGACAAATAGTTGCAGCAAATATCCTTTGTAATTTGTTTCTGAATTTGAAACGGGTTGAGTAGAATACGAGTAATGAAAATTTTCCAAGAGATCAATAATATTTGGGATTGTTAAAAGCATGAGTGTCATTTGAGGACACCATGTACCATGAGTGGGGTTTGAACCCACGCGGACATTTGTCCATTGGATCTTAAGTCCAACGACTTAACCACTCGGCCATCATGATGCTTCACTTTAAACACTTCACGGCGGAGGGGGAGGAGGAGTCAGGATTCAGACTCTTTATGATGGATCTATTTTCTAAGACTGTTAATGTTTCTCTTTATAGAGCAAAACATGACTAGTTCAAGAAATAAAATTAAAGGGGAGCTGTCACTTCTCCTAAATTGACGCATTTAAATGAGGCATTGAAAATAACCACTAACTTGTGTAAACCGTTTTCTATGTATGAAATGCTCTCTTTACTTTTAAGTGCATAATAAAGAGTTAGCAAATGACATCATAATCTACTTCAGACTAGCAAAGCCAGGGATAGCATTGCTAATGTAGAGGAGAAAGGGAAACCGTGTTTCATCAATCCACTTCTGTGTATGTCCAGTCTATGCTGAATGCCAGGAGGAAAGGATTCAATTTTGGAAGGGAGCATTGATGGAGGTACCTGGTTACGGGAGAAAGAGTTATGGATTTCTTCATTTACCTTTCTTTTTCATGCCTTACAAATAGATATTTGTCAAATCTAGGGATAAGTAGTAAAAATAATAGTGAAAATCCTAAAAATTACCAGTTTCCCTTTAGATTCGGTGTGAATATCTAGCAGGGCAATTAAAATTTCAATTCTTCAGCATTACAGACCTGTCTCTTACTGTGTTGAATTCAGAGTAATATGATGCTGTCAAGCAAAGTGATGCACTTAGCATGTCTCTTTTTGGGTATGGGTTTTGGCATGAAATAAAAGATAAAATAGAACTTGCTCAGGAAATTTCACATATTTCTGTATGATCTCAAGAATTTCACAGAAGCCTTTTTGGTTCGATTTAAATAAATAGTTGCAGCAAGTATCCTTTGTAATTTGTTTCTGAATTTGAAACGGGTTGAGTAGAATACGAGTAATGAAAAT